CGGAGCGGCTGACGCGCTGGCGCAGGCTCTTCAGCTCGCCATTTTTCTTTTCCACCTGCTCTCGCAGGCAGCACACCTGGCTCTTGTTCTGCCGCGCTGAGAAGCAGTAGGAGTGCAACGAGTCGATGAGCTTGCAGGCCCCTGACGCTGACAAGATGACTTCATTGATCGACATGGGGCTGGCATCGCTATGCTCACTCTGCACGGCTTCTGCAGCTGGCTTCGGGGTGACGTCTGTCGGAGGGGCCGAAGGACCCTGGGAAGGCTTCTGCGGCGTGGCTGTGAGTGAGGAGCTTGGAGGACTCTGGGCTGAGCCCTTGTCGGGCCCCAGGCTGCTCCCACTGCACCTGGGCTCCACATCTCTCTTCAGCCTTTTTCGGTCGATGGGCTCACGGGGGACGGACAGCCTCTCTCGAGTGTGCTTGGAAGAGAAGCTGTAAGAGTGGAGTGAGCCGATAAACTTGCAAGCCCCAGACCCCAGAGGGGTAAAGTCATCCGCGGAAATGCCACTCTTGTCTGCCCCTGCCGCGGGGCTGCCGGAAGCAGCATTCTGGTCATGGAAGTCTGCAGCTCGTGCCTCTGCCTCGCCCTGGCTGCCTGGCGTTCTTTCTGGAGACCCCCGCACCTGCTCCCGACCCACAGTGTCTGGGCCAGCCTGGAGCACAGCCTCCCCCTGCAGAGCAGCTCGCTTCAGCTTTCCGGACTCAGGCTTGGCCATGGGGTTTCCACTGGAGGGCAACGAGGAGCCCGGGGCTGCCTTCCCGGCTGCTGTGCTCGCCTGACCTTTCATGCTCCCCGAGGCCTTGCTGGTGTCCTTTCTCCTGGCTCGGCCATGGCCCCCAGCCCCCCTCTTCTTCTCAGTCAGGTGGAAGATGGAAGGCACAGCCGTGGGCTTGAGCAGGCGGTGCTGGTCCTCCAGCCTTTTGGAGAAGCTGTCTTTGGTGAAATGCTCACTGCAGAGGAACGAATACTTAGTGGGGGTCCAGTTATCCCTCTGAACAGCTTTTAACCACTGAAGGAGGCGTTTGGAGTCCTTAAGGGGGAACCTGCAAGATGAATGACAAAGTACTGAGAAATAATTAAATGTCTCCCCCTAAATGATCAACTACAAAAGTAAAATAACTGTTTTTGCAAACATCCAAACCTATACTGATTTCATCTGCTTAAACACTTTACCAGAGACATAAGAAGCAGGTATTTGCAAGGTGTTCCTGGAATGGAAGGATGCATGGCCCACTGTTGATCCTTCAGGAGCCTGAAGGCTGTAAGGCAGATAGGAATGCAGCCCTCATTCCCCCCAGGTTGTGGCAAATGCCCCATAGGTATGCAGGACACCCAGATCTCTGGACCATAAAAAGCTGGGCACTGACCAGCCCTACCCAGATATGCCTGGAAGGTAGGACTCTGGGCAGTAACAGCAGAATGTCTGATGCCTGTACTAAGAAGCCATTCAATGTGGGCCACAAGGATGGGAATAAAAGGCCAGGAGAGCACCCAGATGCCCAGCAGGATGACCGCCCCAGCTGTGGTGGAAGCAGCTGAGGAAGTGGGAACCAGCTCAAGTAAGAGTCCAGCTGCAGTTCTGTGCTCTCGTGGGCTCCACTACCAGGAGTAAAAGTGCTCTCTTGGGAGTCAGGCAGCCCAAACTTTGAGAATACTGTGCTGAGTTAAATATGCCAGTCACAAAAACACTTACCCAGCTATACAAATGCTACATATGCTTATATAAGGTACCGAGAGTGGTCAAATTCATAGCTAGACTGGTGGTTGCTAGAGAGTGAGGAGAAGAGAAATGAGGAGTTAGTTTAATTCAGAGTTTCAGCTTTACAAAATCAAAAGCTGTGAAGGTGAATGTGCCACACAGTAAGTGAGTGTATTTAGTGCCATTGCCCCACACACTTTAAAAAGGTAACAAGACAGAGGACATGCAGTGTAAGAGGTATTTAAATCATTTCTCGTTGCCTATGACACTGAACAATCACTTCTCCATTAAGGCAAAATCTGTACTGTATTTTAAAAAACTCAGATGTGTGGCACTTGAGTGCCTCTATCCCACCAGAGGCCACAGTGGGACAGGATGGGTCAGAGAGGTCGAGGCGGCTGGACCTTGCCTCCCTTCTCAATGGACTGGGACCCTGATTCTCAGAGGTCCCCCCAAGTTGGGCATCCTTTGCCCCACACCGCGCTCGACATGATGAATGCCACCAGCTGCTTTCCTGGCGATGCTCTGCGTCCTTTTCAAAATCAGTAACACAACTTCTGGCGCGCGAGCTCTGAGGGAAACAGGATAGCACCCGGCCTCCAGAAGTAATCAATGCTACCAGCTCTTTCGACAGACTGTAGCAACTTTGGATTCAGGGCATCCGCTGTAATGCTGTAAATAACGCGTGTGGTTCCCACCAGCTACAGAAACAGCCGCATGTGCAGAATGCCTTCTGGGACAGGGTCCCCTGACTTCTTGTTCTGGTCCCTTCCCGGGAAATTGCTGGAAGAACCCACAGAACTGGGAAGCCGCTAGCACCCTCGGCCTTTCCCAGGCGGGGGATGCGCGAGCCCCGGTCTTCGGGCGGCGCGTCAGCGCGGACCCGTGAGAACTGCTCGGAGGGGGGGGGTGCCTCGGGTCCGCACCCCGAAGCCGGAGAGCCGGGTTACCGCGACGGGGACAACCAGCGGGGGATAAGCGTCTGCGGAACGCGCTACTCCCGCAGCTCGCGGTGCCACCCAGGTCGATGGGCGCGGGGGGCGCGGGCGGACATGGCTTGACCTGGCCCGGCGTGGCCGCGATGGCCCAAGGCGCGAGGCCCAGGGACGGCGGCCGGGCCAAGGTCACATAGCGCCCGTTCCCGTCGCCCAGCTCCCCTTGGCGCCCAGGCCAGCCAGGCCTCGCACCCCCGCCCCGGCCCGGCGCGCCGCCTCAGTTTCCCTGCCAGCTCGGCTGGGGCGGGGGCGTGGCGGCGGGCGGTGTACCTGTGGAAGGAGACGGCGCGCTTCTCGCCCTTGCCCTGCCGGTTGGAGCAGTTCACGGCCGCACAGCAGATCACCATCGCGGGCCTCGGCGCAGCGCCCGGCAGGCTCCGGCCTCGCAGCCCGCCGCCCGCCGCCCAACCCGCCCCGAGGGAGCACGGCGACACGGTCGGGACGTGGGCCGCGGACGCGCCGTACGGCAAGATGGCGGCGCACTGCGGTCCGCCTCGCGCTGCGCTCAGGCTCCTGGGGCCACGGCAGGTCCGCGGAGCGTCGCTGCGGCGGCGGCGGCGGCGGCGGCGGTAGCGGGCGGGCGCGGAAGCCGCCTGGTCGTACAAGTGTGTGCGGTGACATGAGCGCGTGCCGTGACATGTGCTCGTATGGCGAGCTGCGCGCACGTCCGTCCGTACGGCAAGATGGCCGCGGCAGTTCGCGCGAGCTGGCCGCGCCCCCGGCGCCCCGGGTGCTTTGAGGGACAGCGCCGGGCCCGGTGGCCGGGTCCTGTCGGGGTGCCGCAAGCCACAGCCCCGCGACCCCTAGCTCCTGGGCCTGGCCCCGGACGCTGCGCCGCCGTACGCCGAGATGGCGGCTTCCACCCTTCCGCTGTGCCGTGCTTGGCCCCCGTGGCTTCCCGTCGCCGCGTCGCCCTGCGCCCGTCGGAGCGACGCCGCGGCCAGTCGGCGGCCGGACGGGGAAGATGGACGCAGGTAAGGAGGGGGCGCCTATCCTCAGACTACTGCGCTCCCCTATCCTCCTCCGGCTCGCTCGGGGTCTTCGGGACAGGGACGGCCCTCGCGGGCGCGCGGACTGAAAGGGCCACCCCCCTTCGTCACCGCTGTGCGCTGCGGCCCGTCACCGGGCCAGCTGGGCCCCCTCGGACCACGGGCAGCGCCCAGCCTGGCAGGAGGGAGGCGGGCGAGGGGTCCTGGGGCATTCGGGGCTGGCGGAGCGGGGCTGGGCCCTACTGCGCGAACACGCAGAACTCAACTTTCATGAAGTTACCGGTCGGGGCTTCGGGATTCGCAACGTGCATCTTTTATTTTTGACTTTAATAGCCTGGAGGTGACCCAAGCTTTTTCTGCGCCCCGAAAGGCAGTGAGTCTATCTCACCCCATTTCCTGGGATGCTAAAACAGTGTGTTGAGCGGGGTGGGGTGGGGTGGGGGTGGGGGGCCTGTGGTCGCGGTGTTGATTTTCCCTTCCTTTAGGTGTCCGCTCCAGATTGACAGTTCCTTTTCGCTGGCAAGATATTTCGGAGACACGAGTCTGTACCAAATGTATCGTTTACTCGTGGCCCTAAAAACATTTTACACGAATTCTCTTGTTCATTCTTGAGCGGTTTTAGGTTTTGTTTGTTTCTTGTAGGTTCTGCTTTGTCTTCCTTTAAGTGTCTCCTTACTTGCAAAAGTTGGCTTTGATCTGGCTCAATTTTACCTGTCATTCTGAATGGCATCGCTTTTGGTTTGTTTTTCTTCTACTGGGTGTAGAAGGTTACAAAGATCTTTGCAATTTACAGAGTTACTACGATTTTACTGGGGACTTGTAGAGCCTTTCAATGATTTCTGGATCTCATCACTTCCCTGTGTTACATGGCTGTAAGAAGAAGGAACGCTGATTCCCCCGGGACGATGTATATTTTTGTGAAGTTGTAGAATGAGTATCAGCCACTGTGGTACTGTTTGCTGGGTTGGGGGGAGGAGTGAGGAAAAGTAGATTTAGTTACCCATTTTCTTTTTAGATGTTATTTTAGGTACGTAAGGCTGTTCGCATGAGAAACACAGTTAAGGTGGAAAAACAGTTTAACCTTGATCGGATTACCTTAAATGTGAAAGTCATGTTTAAGAATACAGTTGTATAGTCACACGATGATCCCTTAATAGTACACAGAATGCCGGTACTTGCAAAAATAAAAGTAGAAAAGATGTTTACTTTTGAAGGTCTCTATTAATGCTGGTAAAAACATACACAATGGCCCGGGATTTAGCTCAGGTGCTACTGCCTGCCTCGAAAGCAAAAGTTCCTGAGTTTGATCCCCAGGACCCCTAAAAAACCAAACATACACAATGGAGCCATTTTCCTTCTAACATTCTGCTGAATGACCTTTTAGGTTGTAAATCATCTGCCCTCCACAAATCCTTGGATTCCTTGACGATTATTCTGTTCTTTTGTTTGTAGGGCGGTACTCGGGATCAAACTCGGGACCTTGCGCTTGCAAGGTAGGCGGCAGCACCACTGAGCTAAATCCCTGGCCCGATTTTTCTGTTCTTAACCATGTGTAATACAATTCCTGGTTCTTGTAGTTGTTTATTCCATAAACACTTTTCACTGAGTGCCAAGCGTGTGCGGGGTATTATTGAAGATCCTGGGACAAGAGAAGTGCACAAAACAGACAACCACTGTCTGGAGACAGCGAGCATTCTCAAGGGGAGACCCTTGGTGAGCAGCAGTGTGTGTGGCTTGTGTAGGAGAGCCATGTGGGCCATGCAGAAGGAGATTGGAATTGCAGCCAGGACACCCAGGAGAGATATCACTCTGAAGGTTACATTTTTACCCACACTGAGAAGTATGGCAGGACATAGGACAAGAGAGCTAATCTGAGATCAGCAAGGAGGTTTGTGTGTCTAGGAGCAGTGGACAGGGACAAGAGAAGCAGGAGCTGAGGGCAGAGAGGTGACTTGGCCCTAGTCATGAGGCCTTGCCTAGGTCACAGTGAAGACTTGGGCATTTATTCTGAATAGGATGGTGACCCTTTGGGAGGTTTTGAGAGCAGTAATATGATCAGACTTATGTTTAACAAACTCTAGCTCCAGCTCTGTTGAGAATATACTGCAGAAGGACAAGGACAGAAGCAAGGAGACCAGTTAAGAGTCCATTTCAATAAGCTTAGCAAAGAGATGCTGGAGACTTAGCTCAGGATGGGGAGAAGAGGTGGGATTCTGCTGTGTTGTGAAGGTTGAGACAATAGGATTTGTTTACAGATGGAAAGCTGGGAGGAGGGTAGCAGGGAGGGAGGAGTGAACAATGGCAAATGCCTAAATTGGGACCAGCAGGGAGCTCCTGCATGGTGGGCAATGTTCGGACTCTGTGTTGGTTGTGAGGTACCTAGATGTCTGTGTAGCTGTGTCCCAGGGCCTTTGAGGCCACAGACTTGGAGCTAAGGGAATAGGCCTAGCTAAAGCTGTACAGGAAGCCACACTAGAGGTTCTCCCAGGTCTGAGTGTGGGTAGGTAAGAGGAAGCCAGGCAGAGATCCCAGGCTGCTGGCATGAGGAGGTTCAGGAGGTGGCAGGCAGGCACAGTTTGGTTGTGTTCTCCACCAGTCCCCCAGCACTGTCTATAAAAACATGCTTCTGGTTCAAAGAGCTCTCAGGTACCAGTACCTGAATAGCCACCCTGTTCATTGGTTGGGGACAGCACCAGTGTTCTATGTACTGCACGTTCTGTCTGGCACATGGTTAGTAGTCAGTGGAGCAGAGCTTCAATTAATAATTTACACATTCCCCTGCTACAGGTTGAACATCCCTAATCCAAAATCCAAAAACTTTTTGAGCACCAGCATGGTGCCACAAGTGGAATAAGTCCACATCTGACCTCGTGAGACAGTTGCGGTCAAAACACTTGTATCTTTTACTAACAGTATTATGCAAGTATTTTAGGCTATGCGTCTAAGGTGTATATGAATCATAAACGAATTTCACATTTTGGTTTGGGTCTCATCCACAACATCTCATCATGTATATGCAAAATATTCAAAAATCCAAAATACGAAACACTTCTGGTCCTGAGCATTTTGTATAAAAGGATACTCAGCCTGTATAAGAATTTCAGTTTGTATGATTGTGCATAGTTGAGTCCAGTCTACTAGCTTATGATGTCAGTGACTGAGAAAGTCTGCTTGCTGCAGAGCAGTGGGTTTTAATGTGGACATTCAGACCAGTGTGTTCACTGTGGCACTGTTTTTTAGTTCTCTGACATAGCTGCAGTTTTTACTTTCTTTTTCTCTTCCTTCTACATACAAGCTGCTGTCTTAAGCATACTTTTCTCAAGGAAAGGCAGAACCTTTCTGCTGAATTGATTTGTAATCTTATGGAGAATCTTTCAAAATGGATGCATCACAGTAAGCTCTAGAAGAAATCTATTGGTTGGACATTTTTTGTTCTTCCTGCTTGAACAGCAGTGTGGTTGATACTGAGTGGAGAGAAATTAGTTAAATTCACTGAGGACAATTCTCTATTTTCTATCTACCAGATTAATAATATTAAATCACATTGCTTTTTTCCTGTTAGAATTAATATATTATTAGACACTTTCTGCTTTCTCTTCCAGCTGTGATGACAGAAGTTCCAAGAAGAGGGTATAGAAAGTCAAGCCCTTGGGTGCAGGTGACCACATGGGGACTCTTTTCAAGGCAGTGTCCTTCTGAAACTGGATGGGCCTCACCTGCTGTTGTGCTTCTCTTGCATGTCATGTAATGTCATATTATCGTCCTTGTCTGGGAGTCAGCAGACTGGCTTTTTCTTCAAGGCTGGCCTCTATCTCAAGAGCCATGTGTACTGCTTCATAAGTGACAGGAGGTGGCGTGAAAAGATAATGAGGTTATGATGAAGACTGAGAAACAGGACTGGGGAACCTCTGGAGAATTGCAGAGGCTGCTGGCTATAGTCAGGGGAGTCACGAGAGTGACGGCCTCTTGCTGGTCAGTCCCTATAAACAGCAGAGGCTGTGAGCTTTAGTTTTGTGGCTGAGCAGAGCTGCTAGCGTTGCCCCCCTTCATGGGCAAGGAGAGTAAGGCTAGAGAAGATGAGGCTAGCAAGTACACTCTCTGTTTTCAGATACAAGCTTAATAAAAATTAGAAGTTAAGTGTTATTTTGAAAAATATCTCCTTCCTACCCAGACGGTCAGGGGGCTCAGTGGCCTGGTCCACAGCCTCAGCCTATGTTCTCCGAGTGTTGCCTCATCCACCGCACCTCACAGTGTCTTCCTCTTCAGCCGGAGCTGTGGGTGTGCCCTGCAAGGTGGGCCAGCCAGTGCATTGCCTCTGGTCCTCCAGCGCAGGTGGGGTTCTTGAGGACACAAGAACCTTGTGAGAAATCCTGCTTCTTCCAGTAGGAATCAAGGCAGGCCTACAGGGTCCTTGTTGCTGACTCTCCGGGCTGCAAGCTCAAGGACATCTGAGCCTACCTGGCAGTGGCATGGCTGGCTTCTCTCTAAATGCAGTCACAGCTCTTTTCTCAGGAAAGTTTATTACATTGGATCTGGTTTTGATAAAAAACTCAGATGTCTGGTTTGGTTTCTATTTGCAGCGCTCTGAGTGTTGTCTCTCATCTTGGGAACACAGTGTGTAATAACTGTAATATGGTGGACTGGCACCCACTGCAGAAGGAATTCAAGAAGGCTGGCCCTGAAAATGTCTTTGGTCCCTACATGGATCAGAGCTCATCCCACTTTCCCAGTGAGAAAACTGAATGCAGAAAGGTTACAATTTAGGGGGATAGCATGCATGGTTCCTGGTGGCCTTAGACCCCAGGCTGCACAGCTAAGTGCTGGACCACCTCTGCACACTGCCTGGGATGTGTTGTTGTCCTCCATGGTGTGGGAAGTGCAGGTGTCCAGGCTGAAGGAGGTGCATTGTGGTGGGAGGAGTGAGAGGGCAGAAAGAGGGAGCACTTCCTCTTTGAGTCCTGGGCTGGGGCAGGTGTGTTCCCACCCACACAGGGCTTGACTGGGGAGCATGGAGAGGGGCTGCAGGCTCAGAGGCCTGGAACTTCCCCTCACAGGAGACCCATGGCGCGTGAGGGCTGGCCAGTCTCTCTGCTGCTCAGATGGATGGATGGAAAGATGTTGTTGTTTTGCTGCTGCTTTGAGCTGTGGTTGCCTCTGGGTAGTATGGTTGTGTTTCTTCATCCGCAAGCTGGCTTTTGGTTCAAGAGGCCTGTAATTTTCATGATTAAAGTAAGACATTTTGTGATGTATTTGAGCTTAATAGGACACCCCTTATTACCTTCACTCTGAAGTTGGCTTCCTTGCCTATAAAGTTTGCTAATAAACTTAAGAAATGTGCCTGCTCTGCACTGTGCTGCTTCAAGGGCGAGGATCCTCACCTTTAGAAATGCCCGGATGGATTGTGACACTGCTTTCAGAGCGAGCTGTTTTCTTCTTCCTTAGCTATGTGTCTCTTTCCTTTATTGTTTATATATTTCATATGGGAAACTAGATATCATAGTTCTCAACTTCCAAATTCTTTATTTTTTTTTGGTACCAGGACCTTGTACCTTGTACTGCTGAGACAGGCACGGTGCCACTGAGCCAAATTCCTGGCCCTTCAACTTCTCAATTCTTTTTTTTTGGTACCAAGGATTGAACTCAGGACCTTGGACTTTTGAGGCAGATGTGGTGCTACTGAGCTAAATCCCCAGCCCAACTTCCCAATTCTGATAACTTCCTGTACACACTTGTATTGACCCAGGGCTGTGGTTCTTTCTCCAATGGCAGATGTCACGTCCTGTGTCATAGTCTCAGAGATGTCATCCAGAGTACTCCTGGCTGTCTAGTGCTTTACCAGATAACATAGCTTCATTTAAAGCTGGTGTCCTGGAAGGGCTCAGACACAAGGAGAATGTTCCAGCAAAGGTTGGACTTGCTTTCCTGTAGTGTTATAAGTTGGAATTTGACAGGATTTTTGCCTCCTTTTCCCTTGAGAGTAGCTTTCTGGGTTTGAGTCTTCATATTGGATAAAGCCTAATTGAGTGTACTTAGGGGACAAAGAACAGTGATTTCTGAAGATGTGAGGTGGCTTAAGAGAATAGGGATGTCATGATGTCTCAGCTTCTTGAAAAGATAGGTGTGAACCTTAATTCATCCCTACATAGTTGTTTTTTGTTTTGTTTTACAGTGACTAGGGATTGAACCCAGGGGCTTGTGCTTGCTAGGTAACCACTCTACTACTGAGCCACACCCCTACTTAGTTTTGATAATCGTATGCAAGAAACAGTCTTATCTAAAAGACAGGAGAAATAAATGGGCTTTATTTAGGATCACCAAGTAGCCCAGGTGACACTTTCTGAGTGCAGGTTGGTAAAACATACAAGAGCAGAGCTCCTAGACAGAAGCCTCTGGGCCTAGTCTCTGTGACTCTCGGGGCCCACTGTGGAGCTTGGGAAGCCTTGGCCGTGCTTCAGGAAAAGCGGAGCTGGGCCCCGTGCCCTGGGGACTTGCTGGGGGACCTGAACTGGAAACTAGCTGCATCTAGGTAGCCTGCTGGGTATAGTTCCTTATGGGTCTCCATCCTTGACATTAAGGACAGAAGCTGGCGTTGTTGCCCTTCTGTCTGTGGCTGGGACCTCCTGGGAAGTCTTTCAGAGAAGCTTCACAACCATGTAGTGAAGCTGTCTTGTCATTATCCCGTTTTATGGATGAGGGATTGCCACACCTAAAAGTGAATAGACCAGGGACCTGTAACCAGGATTTAAACTCTGGCCACCAGGGGCAAGAGACAGCACTCTGCTCTCCGCCTTCCTTGGGGGACTGCACACCTGGGGTGCTATGTCTTGGAGTCCACAGCAGGGGAACTTAGGAGCACCCTAATAGCGTGCATATTTTAGCCACAGTATCAGCTTACACAAGGCCAGTAGAAACTGGATGGAAAGCTGTATTTTTATGCAGAACGAGGATAAGGATGAGGAAACTGCAGATGTGTGATTCTGTCTGTTCATGTGAAGTTGCACAGTGCTGCTGTGCAAAAAGGGGTTCATTGCTGGGTGATGAGGGCTCAGGAAATTTTTATGTCTTTGTAGTCTTCACTATTTTTTAATAGTTACATATGACATTCTTCCTGAAAGGGAAGATATTATCAAAGATCAATTCAGATATGAGAGAAACTCATAGTGTGTGTGATTTTCAAGAACTCTCCATGCGCTGGGGTGAAGGGTGTTAATGTCGGGCACTGTTAAGGCCCGGGAGGGCTGCGGGTTCAGTGTCCCATGTTCTGAGGAAGGAGCTGGTCGCTGGAGAGATGCCTTGGCCCTCATGCCGCCCAGAACATGCTGTGTGTGTCTTACCTGATAGGTCTTCAGCTGTGTGTCTTACTGCAGGCTGGCTGTTTTTCTTTGGGACCAGTGCAGAATATGGGGTTCTTCAGCCACAGTTCTGAGGACAGCACCCAGGGCCTTCCTAAACTTTTTTTCTTTTTTGGTGGTACTGGGTTGAGATTGAACCCAGGGACTTATGTGCTAAGCTCTTATCACTGAGCTGCATCCTCAGTAGCTATAGTAGCCTTTTGGGGGGGGGGGGTCAGGATCTCACTATGTAGTTCAGGCTGGCCTTGACTTTTATGTATCCCAGGTTGGCCTCCAACTTGCTCTGATCCTCCTGAGTGCTGGGATTATAGGTGTGAACCACCATGCCCAGCCTATGGTAGTTTTTAAATTTCATTTTGAGATGGGATCTTGCTAAATTACCCAGGCTGGCCTTGAACTTGTGACCCTTCTGCCTCAGCCTCCCCAGTAGCTGGGCTTATGGACATGAGCCAGCATATCCAGCTTCCTAGGTTCTCAGTTGAAACTAAATAGGTAAAGTGCCACTCAGGGCTCATTAGCACAGCGGGTGGACACCATTGCTTGGTAGCCAGCTCCCTTCTTAGACTGTGGGCGTGGCTGTGTGGAGGATGGTACTGACAGTGCTTTTCAGCAGCAGTGTCAAAGTGAAAGCCTGGCCCAACCCTTGTCTCCAGGGCCCTTGGGACCCGGCCCCATTGGGACATCGCAGTGGCGTCAGTCCCTTGTGTCCCACTGAAGTAGCACTCTGTCCGTCTATGGTTAACTGCTCCTCACCAAGCAGATGAGATGGCCTGGAATCCTGATCTTCCAGGAGCTCAGTGACTCTCATCTTTGAACACACTGCCATGGTGCATTTGGTAGATCTTAGAGTGCCATGAACATCTGTGGTTCCCTGGTCTACAAAGACAACAGTGTGGCTTAATTATTCTTGTGTAGCTTACAGTTTACACATTCTAGAACTAAAACATTCGAATGCGTGTGTTGGGTGACCTCTTCGTCCAGCCAGCCCCTCGGTGGGCAGCTGTCCTCTGACTGTCCTTGGTGCTCACAGGGCCTTGATCGCTGTGGGGATACAAGTATGCCCTGCTTGGGAAGAGTCCACTCCTGTGCTCTCCTGTAGTGCAAATATTTGAAGGTTGAGCCCTCTGGTATTGTTCTGTGTAATAATCAAAGTTGATAGATGTGTGTCTTTGATTTCCACAGCCACTCTCACCTATGACACGCTCCGGTTTGCTGAGTTTGAAGATTTCCCCGAGACCTCTGAGCCTGTTTGGATCCTGGGCAGAAAATACAGCATCTTCACAGGTATCGGCCACGTCAGAACCACTCTGCCCTGCCGCTGTCTGCCCCCACCCCCCCCACCCCATGGTGTCTGGCTTATAAACTGAAGGTTCTGTGTGTTCTTCTTTCCAACAACCCTAGAGAAGGATGAGATCTTGTCTGATGTGGCATCCAGACTGTGGTTTACATACAGGAGAAACTTCCCAGCCATCGGTGAGTACCCTGCTGTGCGGCAGGAAGGAGGGAGGCCTCCAAATTCCAGACCCCTCATACCAGCTGCTCCAAAGCTGGCCAGCACTGGCTCAGCTGCAGTCACACACAGGCACCTCCTGGCAGCAGGCCAGCGAGTTTTCACCTGTAAGCCATTGCTCCATCAGAGCTCATGGCAACATTTTACACAGTTTTCGGTTTATTTTTGGTTGTCTCTTTGTTATTACTGGTGCTGGGGATAGAACCCAGGGCTCTGTGCATACTTGGCAAATACTGTACCACTGCGCATCCCCAGTCCCTGTAACAACATGTTAAACGTATACAAAAGAGTGAAGCAGGAAACAGTGTTGGCCATAGTGAGGCAGCACCCTGTTCCAGAGATTGAGGGTGGCCCATGTATTTGAATGCATGCCTCATGACTGACTGACTGTAGTCCTCATGTAGGTCCGGGTTGTCTGGAAGCCTTGCTCTTCCTGATTCTTGCTGCATGCCCAGGAGGTGGACGGAGGTTGGGGACTAGCTCTCAGCCTTGCCTTTGTAGTTGAATCTTAGGGACCAGGCTGACATTGTGCCACCCCATGGGCAGGTCATAAATCAGTTCCTCCCCTGGATAGCATGTCATCCTCCCACACTGAGGCGGAAGTGAAGCAGACATGGCAGCCTGGCATTCAGGGGAAGCAAGACCCGTGTCCCCATGACTAGTGTCTGGTGATACAATTTGTCAGGTGTGGCTCTACAGATGCACAGCTCACCCTTCTCTGAGCCTCCTCTCTATGTGGCCCTGGTGCCGAACCTCAGGCTCTGAATAGGGGACCACAGCCTGAGACATCTTTTGTCGGGAGCAGTGCTACATAATTTTAGGGTAAAATCATTTGGTTGGCCTAGTCTCCTGTGAGCCACGGCAGCATAAGGCGAAGTACAGGAAAGGTAGAAAAATGAGACTGAGAAGAAGCTGAGCTTTGGGTCTGATCAGTGCTGCTCTGGGCGGCAAAGACGAAAACCCCCAGCTCACCTCAGTACATTGGGAGAAACAAAGGTAACAAATGACTTGCAGAGAGCTCAGTATATCCGGGTAAACAAGATGTAACAATCCAAGAACAATGAGAAACTGAGTAGATGAGGATTTTGTTTCTCCCAGGATGTTTTTAGCTGGTGTAATCTTGCCCTGGAGAATCACAGCATCACCGGATCACTGAGGTCTCAGTTGTGACCGGAGGCCAAAGTGGAATTATGTCTCGGAATTCCATAGCTGGGCTGTAGGCAGGAGAACTCGGCTAACCAAATGATTTTTCCCTAAAATTATGTAGTGTTGCTCCTGCCAACCTTTACCACTTGGCCTACTGTGGAGAAGAGGCTGGGGAAGAGCCACGGGGAAGCTGCTTTTGCAGGCCTGCAGCTGAACATGGCCTGTGCCCTGCAGGGATGTGTGTGTGCGAGGAGTGGTGTGTGCAGCCAGGGCTGCTGCCTGAGCTGTGGAGTGCACAGCTCCCCTGGCCCGGGGTCAGGGCTGCAGGTCTCCGGGCTCTGACTATTGTCTCTGCCACTGCCTCGGCCGCACCTCCTGGTCGTGGCTGCACCATGCCATTCCACCGGCCTCCTGCCACGGCCATGGGATAGTTCCCACAGTTCCTCAGTGCTTGGCTTCTGTTTCTCTGGCCTGGTAGTGGACAGGAAGTGGCAGGGGCCCAGGCACATGTGCTTGAAGAGCAGGAGCAGTTCCTAACCACTGCGGCCCAGCCCCTGCCCATGTTCAAAGGCACTAATGTCCTTTGAATCTTGATCTTTCTAGTAGCTGGGAATAGTTCTCCTTGTTGAATATGGCGGTTGGCATTGGCCGCGAGGTACTGTCTGTTCCTATAGTTTTGGACATTCCTGTTGCCCTGTGGCTGACTTGTCCCCATACTCTTGCCCAACTTGAGGACTTGTCAGTCAGCATACTCGGCCCTTGTGTTGCTAAGTCCTCAGGTGTGCAGATCCTGAGACTGAGCAATGTAAGAGGCTGGTGCCCTGGTGTGGAGCATCTGTGGGCCTCTGACGGTGACTGCGCCTCTCTACACCATGACAGGGGGAACTGGCCCTACCTCTGACACAGGCTGGGGCTGCATGCTCCGGTGTGGACAGATGATCTTTGCACAGGCCCTGGTGTGCCGGCACTTAGGGCGAGGTGAGTTACAGCACGCGGGTGTAGTAGGGGGTGCTGGGGACTGGGCTGTGGCTTGAGGGATGTTTAAAGCATATCAGGTAAAACGGCAGGTGCTGAGAGTTGGGTGCAGGGATATTTAAAGCACATCACAGGTAAGACCTCAGGTTTTCATTGATTAGAAAGTCTGACTTTAAAGAATGCTGATATTTATATCTTTAGAAATTGTTAAGCTGCTGAAAGTATTCTGTGCTGTCAGTTTGTTTTGATGAGTTGGTATGTAGGTACTTGAAATCCTAGAGCATTTAGCTTTTAACTTTAAAAGGCTGAGGGAGGCTTTGGGGCCTGTCTGACTCTTGAGTGCTGTGTAAAGCTTGACTCATTTCTCTGGCTTACGGTCAGACTAACCTCCTGCATTTGTTCCCAATAGACTGGAGGTGGGCACAACGGAAGAGGCAGCCTGACAGCTACTTCAGCGTCCTCAATGCTTTCCTTGACAGAAAGGACAGCTACTACTCTATCCACCAGATAGGTGGGCTGACTCCATGGAGAGGCAGCGTCGGGTCTCCCCAGGGGCTGGTCTGGGCGCGTGCAGCTGAGTGTCCTGAGCAGGTGCAGAGCATGCAGCCTTGAGCACTGTTCCCCTCCTGGAAGGACCAAGGGTAGAGCTGAGTGGCTGGGGCTTCCAGGCATTCCCTTCCCCGTCCTCCTTTCTAAGTCTCGCTCCAGCACCCTCTGCAGGGTGGGTTTCCTGTCTGGGCCTTCCTGTGGAGTGGTTCCTACTGCCACGTCCCATGGAGGAGTGGGCGGGAGGGGCACGGGAGGCTGGGCTGGGTGCATGTTGCTAATCGGGGTCTGCTTCCTGCAGCGCAAATGGGAGTTGGCGAAGGGAAGTCCATCGGCCAGTGGTACGGCCCAAACACCGTCGCCCAGGTGCTCAAGTACGTGCTGAGCTGCAGCCCGTTGCCCTTGGTGTTCACACTCTGGGCTCTCCTGGACAAGGGGAACAAGGGGCTCCAAGAGGGTCCTCAGAGGTGACCAGGCCAATGGCTGTGGGATTTATGTTTTCTGTGAAGGAAGTGCCTTGCCCTGGGTCCATCTGTAATGGTGGGTGCTGGTGGTTTGGAAGTGGAAGCTGACCTGGAACCACATCAGTTTGGTGGCTGTCTGTGAGGGTGCTGTGGCCCTTCCACTTTGGGCCTGTCAGAGGTTCCTTCCCTTGCATGTGCCCCAGGGTCTGGGCTTCGTCTGCACTGGCCTCTTTCCTGAAGGCACTGTGCCTCCCTTGCCTCAGCGCTTGTCCCTCTGAAACGGCTCCTCCTGTGTTGCCAGGAGCCAGCCACTTCTCCTTGCCCTTCCGAGTCATGTGGCCTGGTGCACCCCTCCCTGTGGCTGTGTGCCTGGAGTCCAAGCCCTTATTGGGGGCTCTGGGGTGGTGCTCCAGGAGTCACCACACAAGAGCCTTGTTCCTGCTTGCCTGGGCCCGGTCTCCTGTGTCTGTCTCTGCCATGGCTTCCCCTGAAGCCCAACTGGGTAGCTGCAGCTCCACTCAGGCCCCGTGGTGCCCACCCTTGCTGTTTCTGAAGAAGCTTCTTCTCTCACCCTGGCCCACTCCCCTGTCTGCACCCAGCTCCTCTTACAGGTTTCCCTGGATGCTTTCTTCTCTCTTGTATCTGCCTTCCTGCCATCTTGCTGTCCTCTTGGCCTGACCTGTCTGTGCCCTTCAGAATCCTTGCCCAGGCCTGGCCTGTCCCAGCTTAGGCGTGTGGTCCACACTCCCCGACTCCTTCATGGTGCTTCCTGTGCTCTGAGCAGTCACACTTACAGTTGCCACCGTGCTTTGGCTTGTCCAGACCACATGTCAGCATCAGTCAGCAGCAGCCCCTAGCTCAGGTGCTTTCACCATTTCTCAGCCACACTGTGCCTCCTGTCCTCCGGCCTCCTCTGTCTCTTGCCTCCTCCCTGACCTGTGGGGCTGCAGGGACAGCTCCCAAGCTAGCCCTGAACAACAGCTGCCTGTGCAGCCCCTCCTCGGGTTCGAGGGGCACGTAGCCCGCCCTGCCTGCTGCTTCTGCACAGGCAGGGATCACATGTACTCCAGAGTCCAGGCTCATCTGCACTCCCTCTCTAAGGCAGCGCCTGAGCTGTGTTGCATCACTGCCTGGTGCTCGTCCCCTCTCTCCTGCCTTGGTCCACACTCTGTCCCTACCTCGTCATTCTCTTCTCTTTGAAGTCGTAGCCAGAGTTGCTTCCATGAGCTTTGGCAGTCTTTGGCAGTCGTCTCTGTGGCTCCAAGCTGTCTTGGGTTTCTGGCTGCCCATGCTGCGTGGACACACTCACTCCCTGCTGCAGTGCATGTACCTTTGCTCCCTGCAGGCTCCTGCCTCAGGTCCTTGCACATGCGCTGACTCCCAGAAGCTCTTCCTCCAGTGCTCCTGCCCCTTCTTAAGGGTTTTTCTTTGCCCCTTACTCTGTCTCATGTGGTCTCTCTCCTGCAGGTGCCAGTCCTGGGAGCCCCTGCTTTGTCCCTTGTCTCTTGGAGTGTCCTCACCCCCACAGCTGGCTGGGGGAGGAGGAAACAGCAGGGCGGACCACTGTCTGGTATACCTCCAGGCTTTCCAGGCACTAGGCTCTCTTTCTGTCCCCAGACACAGCAGGCTCTTGCAGCTCAGGGCCTGGGCATTGTCCCTGGGCCTGGAATGGTTTCTGGCTTCCCCATCTCACTGGGGAGCAGGTCCTGTGTAACCCTGCATGCCCAGGAGTGGCTCAGGTTCCCATATACATGCTGCAGGAACTGTGAACCTGCTGCAGGAACTGAACCTGCAGCCCCCGTTCTCTTCCTGGATGTCCCTGTGAGGACTCCACTCCGGGCTGCCCTCACTGTGCATGGTGGGGTGCTGTGCCTATCTCCTTGTTGTGCCCCAGGACTCCTGTGTGGGTGCTCTGCTTGTGAAGCGCAGCTGGGGTGCTGGGAGGTGGAGTAGGGTCCCTTTGAGCCCTCCTTCTGAGCTCACTGTTCCCTGGGAGGGCGCTCTGCGAGACCCTGCTGTGGCAGGTGTGAGGGCCAGGGTCTGGTTCTGGACGCTCAGCTTGTGCTCTCCTGCCTCCCTTCTGCAGGAAGCTTGCTGTGTTCGACACGTGGAGCTCCTTGGCGGTTCACGTAGCGATGGACAATACTGTGGTGATGGAGGAGATCAGTAAGTGCCCTGCTTTCGGTTGATGAGGAGGACTTGTTGGGATGAGCGTTTCCCTGCTGGGCCCCAGAAGGGCACCACTGCTGAGCTGTGCTGAGTCAGAGTAGAGCGGGGCACAGGGTTTGTCTTAGCCTGGAGACCAACTGAAGGGAGCAGCCCAGGCCCTCTGGAGGAGCCAGTTCCTTAGCACCTGTCGTTGTCTTGTTTCTCTCACAAATGTGTTAGTGCTTGGAGCAGTGGGGCATGCCTGTAATCCCAGCCCTCTGGAGGCTGAGGCTGGAGAATCGCTGCCGTGCAAGAGTTTGAGGCTGGCACGCGGTGAGGCTAGCACATGGGCTTGGTGGCGCACGCCTGCAATCCCAGCACTCTGGGAGGCTGAGGCAGGAGGGTTGCAAGTTCAAGCCCAGCCTGCCTTCCATTGTATGGAAGTAAAAAATAAAAAAGGTTTGGGAATATAGCTCAGTGTGAGTTCTGGGATCAATCCCCAGTAATTAAAAAAGCCCAGATGTATTAAGGTGCGCTGCGGTTGGCTAACTAGCAGGGATGCTGGCTGAGTGCCTCTGGGTGCACAGGTACACATACCCCACTGAGACTCGGGGACGCTTCTGACCCACCTCGCACACTAGCTCTCTGGGCAGCAGACCCATGGAAGGACGGCTGGGGAGGTGGCTGGCTCTCAGGGCCAGGACTCTGTCCTGTCCCACAGTGCCTGCTTATGCTCTGTGAAGCAGGGCCTTCCCCAGAGTGCTCTCAGAGCTGCTTCAACCCCATTTTTGTTGGAGTCTTGCCATTGCCTCGAATCCAGTTCTGCTTAAGGAAATGTCATTGAGCTGGGTGGAGTGGTGCATACCTGTTATCCCAGCACTCTAGGAGGCTGAGACCATCTCTCAAAATCGAACAAATCTGGGTTCAGTCCCCGCTACTGCAAAAAAAAGGAAAAGAAAAATGAAAGGCTCATGGAGAGCCATGGTTCTGACCGTGCAGAGACAGGCAGTGGAGGTGGGTCTGGGTGCAGCGTGAGGCCACTACTTGTGCACCACTCAGGCCACAGATGCGTCACTTCCCTGCCAAAGTGATCGGGCCCCTCTGCTTCATTTCTTTTTTGCAGAACTGGAGATTGATCTCAGGGTCTTTACATTGAGCTACATCCCAGTCCTTTTTTATGCTTGTTTTGAGATAGATCTCACTAAGTTGTCTCTAGCTTGTGAGCCTCCTGGCTCAGCCTCCATAGTGCTAGGATTATAGGTGTGCCATGCCTGGCCTCTTGCTTCTTCACCCCTGGGTGATGTCTGTCGACAGAGTCTCAGGCAGGAGTGGCACCTGACACGGTCATTGCCATAGGTCCCCCCACAGTTGATGCACTTATAGCAAGCATTTCTTCCTTCTGCCTTTTACCCTATTCTAGTTCTTAAAACTTTTGTAAAAATTAAGCAAAGTACAAAGAAAGTCACTGATTATACCACTCACATATCCCGTATTGCTTTTTGTTGTTGTGCCTTTGTTTTTGTTTTTCGTACTGCAGTGGAACCTTGGTCTCTCTACCAATGAACTACATCCCCAGCCCTTTTTTTTTTTAGAATTTTGAGACAAAGTTTGGTAAATTTCTGAGGCTGGTCTTGAACTTGGAAACCTCTGCCTCAGCCTTCCAAGTAGCTAGGATAACAGGAGTGCACCACCATGCCTGGCCCCATGTTAGCTTTGTGGCATGCTTTTTCCAGTGTTTTTAAATGCTTTTCAAGAACATAATATCTAGCATTTGGCAGGTTGAGTCAGGAGGACCTTGAATTCAAGGCTAGCCTCTGCCTAGTAGGGAGACTTTTTCCAAAAAACACAGGAACCTTGTAACCGCCTCGTCAACTGGCCACACAGGGTACTACTGTGCCTTGCCCTCTGTCCTGCTCATGTCTCTGCAGCCCCTCATTTGACCTCTGCTTCAGAGAGGGTGGCAAGGGTGAGGTCAGGCTCCTCCCAGAGTCTGGCCAGCTGAGTGCGTGTGGCGGCAGCATCTGAGCCTCTGGTCCTCCTGAGCCAGGTTTGGCCAGGAGGTGAGGAGCAGAGCTAGGGAGGAGTGTGGAGTCTGCCTTCCTGGCAGCTCAGGGTGTAGGAGGCCACCTGGCAGGGACCAGGGCCAGGCAGAGGGGACCTGGGCATGATGTCTGACCCCCACATGTGGGAAGAATGGCATCAGATCCGACCAGACATGGAGGCTGACAGGCGTGCTGCAGTGTGGTAAGGGGTGTGGCATCATGGACGTGGCCATGCTGTTGGCTTTGGGTTTGGAAAGGCATGGAGGGCTCCAGGATAAAGAGGAAGCTGCCTTTCTCTCCCACTGCCAACATCTGCCCAAGCTGACGTGCAGCTGCAGACAAAACTTGGATAAGCAGTGGCTTGGCCAAGCAAGAGCATTTTGTCCTAATCTCTCAGAACTGCTTGTGGGAAGGCTAGGTGTGGTGGCACCCTCTGGGGACCAAGGCAAGAGGGTTTCAAGTTCAAACCCAGCCTAGGCAATTTAACAAGGCACTGTCTCAAAATTTTTAAAACTAAGTAAAAAGATCTGGAGATTTAGTTCAGTCATATAATGCTTTCATGAATAAGGCCCTAGAGTCAGTCCTCAGCACTGTAAATAATAATAATAATAGCGTATGGAAGAGTTAGGGAAAAACCAGTGACACTGGGAAACTGCACCAGAGCCCCTTCCCCCAGTGAGAGTAGCTGGCAGTGACTGTGCTTGGGTTTTGTGTGGAGCGTACTGGGCAGGAGGGGCATCAGCACCTCCTTTCCATCTCTACCCATCAACCCTTCCACCTGCCCCGCTGGGGCCAGCCAGGATGTTCACAGTGGCTGCTGACCTCACACTTACGGAGTTAGACCTGCGTCCTGCATTTCTTCAGCAGTGCGCCTTCTCAGATCTGGAGGCCTTGGAGCTCTGTGCTTGAAATAAAGGTCTAGTCAGCCAGAGGGCGCCATCACCGTGGAGCTTTGGCATCAATACGGCCTCAGAATCAACAGGGTGGAACCTGCAGTCAGCGGAATATGTAACATCGATTAGTCAAAAAAGTCACAGAGGACCAGAACAGCACCATCAGAGCTTAGTAGATACACGTCCAGCCCTGGGTTCTGATGGCAGATGTACCTTTTGTCAAGAAGAAAGAGGAGAACATACAAAGATTCTAGAACTGATTCTTGGAAAGAATAACGTATGTTTAGAAATTAGAAAGTTAAGCAGTAGAAATAAAAAGAAAGTTAAAACAACTTCACTCCCTAAGTCCTTTTTTCCTAGCTGTCCATTTTGAGAAATTTCAGTCCTACAAAAAAATTCAGCGACTCTCAATCACTTTTAGTCTCACTTAGCAGAGAAAGTTCTCTGTCTGTCTCTGTCTCTCTCTGTCTCTCTCTCTGTCTCTCTCTCTGTCTCTCATCTTTCATAGCACTGACAATTTTGAGGAATGCACGTCATGTCCTGTGGGCTTCCTCAGGGTCAAACCTGGGTGGGACATTTTGGTAAGAACACCACCAGGGGGCGCTGCCCTCTGCTATCTGTTGGACTGGCCCTGCTCCCCACCACCGAGCCCCTGCCCAGTTCAGGCGGTGACTTTGTGCCCAGATAGAAGGAGGAGGAGGGAAGGAAGGAGTAAGATTACTCCTGGTACCCACTTACCAAGTAGGGGTCTGGGTCTGCTGGCCATTTTTCTTGCGCTGTTTTATGCATGTGCTTTATTTCACAATTTCTCTTAAAGGAGAAGAGGTTTGGTTTGGCTCATGGCACAGATTTTTAAATTGAGAGCATAGAAAATGTCTCCTTTTTCTCTGAGGGTGATAGGGTTATGGAAACAATTTCTGTGTTCTCTGAATGTAGCCTTTATTTTAACCTGTCTTTGACCACCTTTTCCACTGCAAACCCATGACTCACTCGTGTCTTGGAGGGAGCTGCCGCGTCTTCTGCTAAGCCCTGAACCTCTCCCTTCCCCTGCAGGGAGGTTGTGCAGGTCCAGCCTTCCGTGTTCCGGGGCTGCTGCGCTTCCCGCGGATGCTGACCGGCACTGTAATGGCTTCCCCGCTCCAATGGAGGTCACCAGTAGGCCATCACCCTCGCCATCGCCATGGAGACCCCTGGTGCTTCTCATCCCCCTGCGGCTGGGGCTCACAGACATCAACGAGGCCTACGTGGAGACGCTGAAGGTGGGTGACAGTGGCTCCTGGCCCCTGGTCTCAGCTACTCCCAGCGTGGTCAGCCAGCTCTGGGGAAGGTGAACAGACAGCTCACAGTGGGTCTGAATGTGATGTGCAGAGCATTCTCAGCTAAGGAAGGCAGGGAAGGCCTCAATCCTAGCTCAGGCATGGAGAACTCAGACTTCAGCCACTTTTACAGACCCTGCGGGTCTCTGCTCGCTCCAGGCCTCCTGTCTGCACGTCCCTCCGCCCTCAGTGTCTGTGGAGGGCAGGCGGGGTCCAGAGTGACGGGTTCCCTGCGGCACCTGGGCTGTGGGCCACTGCCCCTCTGATGCCCTCCGTGTCCGCCTGCTCACCCCTCTCCCACCGAGGTAAAGGCAGAGCTGCCTGCTTCAGCTGCGTGGTCCCGGGAACCAGCTCACTCGGGGTCCTTGGCATGTGGAAAGAAGTGCTTGTCTTGGTCCTGTCCTCTGCCTTGGGCCTCCGGGGTCCAGGTGGCCCCTGCTGTTCTGTGCCCCCTGTCACCTCCACTTCTCCTTGCCTGTCTCCATGCACCTGCCTTGCCTCCTATCTCCACTTCGCCATCATGGCGCGTGGCACTTGGCGGTCTGCTGAGCTGTCCCTGTGCCTGCCCTGCCTTTCCTGACCAGAACCCTGGCTGTGGTAAGCAGCTCTTGGAGTTGTCTTCTTGTTCTGCTGGCTCCCTGGGCCTGGGGCCAGCCTGGGGCTGTGAGCGAGGCCTGTGTGCCGTGCCAGGCTCTCCACACCTGTCCGGGAGCATAGTGTGCCTATCGGTCCGTTGTCCTCTCTCCACAGCGCTGTTTCATGATGCCCCAGTCCCTGGGTGTCATCGGAGGGAAGCCCAACAGTGCCCACTACTTTATCGGCTATGTTGGTGAGTCAGCCCCACCTGTCTGGGCCACAGCAGTGCTCTGTAGCCTGTGCACCTGGTGGGGGGTTTCCCTAAGCAGCGCTGCCCACTCCCCTGCTCCACCTTGCCCACTGTGGTGTCTGTGGGCGCAGGGCTGCTAGTGGATCAGCGGTGTGTTCCTGAGGTCCCTGTGCCTGGTGCTCTACACCAGCTGGTGATGTGGCCTCCCTCCCTGTGCCCCTTTTCCCTGATGGTCTGGTCACACTGCCCCTCATGCCTGCCATATTTTGCAATGGGCTTCTCCTGTTGGACTGGCCTTGGTGTGCTGGGTGTGAACACAAGCCTCGGCCTCTCTGGCTGACCTCCGTCGTCTTGCCTAGGCAAAGAGCTCATCTACCTGGACCCTCATACCACACAGCCGGCAGTGGAGTTGACGGATGGCTGCTTCATCCCTGACGAGACCTTCCACTGTCAGCACCCGCCCTGCAGGATGGGCATTGGGGAGCTGGACCCGTCCATCGCTGTGGTATGTCCCACCAAACCTGGGTTAGGATGAAGAGGGAAACTTTGGGATTTGTGTAGCTTTCCCAGCATTTGGAATGTTGTGTTCTCGTGGTTTTGAACTCCAAGGCCATGGCCTGAGCTGTGCTGGGCCCTGCAGGTCCTCCCCAGAGACTGCTGCTTCCTGAGTGAGCAGCCAGAGTGCATGAGTGTGCACGTCTTGAGTGTGCATATAGAGTGAGTGTGTGTGCCAGGTCCACACCTGCATCACTGTCATTTTCTGTTGGTTTTACTTAGTGCATCTGGGAGGTGGTTCCCTAAGAACCGGCTTCCCCTATTCCTTGGGCTGTGCCGTGGAAATTGTTGATATGTGGTGCATGCACCTGTGGTTATTTGATGGGGAAGAGGCAAAAAAGAAAGAAAAGAACCCACTGGGTGTGGTGAGATATACCCATGGTCCCAGACACTTTGGAGACTGAGGCAGGAGGATTGCAAGTCTGAGCCAGCCAAGGCAAGACCCTGTTTCAGAATAGACATGGCTGAGGAGGTGTCTCAGAGGCAGCACAGCCCTGGGCTTCATTCCAGTACCAGAAAAGAGCGCGGGGTGGGGAGGGACGCAGGGGAAAAAAAAAAGCAAAAAGTAGAAGCAGAGCCAGGCCGGGCCACTGGAGACAGAACTCTCCTGCCTGGTCCTGGCATCAGTGGGCTGGTGTGCCACCCTGGGACACGCACACTGGCATGGGGACGGCAGCTGGAGCTGTTCCTGAGCGAACCAGTTCTCAGTAGCTTGCAGTAATTGATGCTTGTGCACTAAGGTCAAACTGGAAAGCAGGCTATCTTGTCTGTAGGAGGCTGAGGCAGGAGGGCTGAGAGTTGGAGGCCAGCCTGAGAAACCTGGTGGGCCCGCCCCTGTCTGGCTCAGTCTGTACAATCTGTGGGTAGAGATGTTGCTTGGTGGCACTGGGCTCAGTCCCTCAGCACTGCAGAAAAAGGAGACCCGGAAGCCGAGCACCAGAGCAGGTGGAGTCCAACAGGGGCCGCTGCCGAGAGACTGTGAGGCAGGGGTGCGACAGCCCAGCATCCGCAGTGGGGAGGGAAGCAGTGGCGGGGCTGCGTGCAGACACCGTGTTCTCCAGGCTCGGTTGCTGTGTCTGTGTCTGCCTGTCGGCAGCAGCAGAGGGAAGCTCCTGCCCTCCCGGCTGCCATCCCTCGCCTGCCTGTGCCTGCGACCCCCTGGCTCTCCTCCTCGCCCAGGCCTGCTCTGAGTGCACAGCTGCCTGATTGGCCTCTGCTGCTCGGTCCTGAGCTGAGGCAGAGTTGAGGCCGGGTCTCAGCTGCAGGCAGAAGAGGCTCGCTCTCTTCACCCTGGCATACTCATAACCTGCCTTCTTCCCAGGCGGCTCATTGGGGCTAAGGCCTTTTGGCTAAACCAAGGCAGAGGAACGGCTTCAGCTGGGGAACTGGGTCCCAGAAGGTGGGAGGGCTGTGCTGCATCTTGGCCCGCAGCTCTTGCCGTGTGCGGTAACACTGCTGTCCATCACTTGGTTTTAGGGGTTTTTCTGTAAGACTGAGGACGACTTTCGTGACTGGTGCCAGCAAGTCAGAAAGGTCTGTGGCTGCTGCCCAATTCTCCAGCCTGGAGCCTGGCCCAGCCTCCGGGGAAGAGGGTGTGGGGTGGGGGCGGCCTGGCCTGAGGCCTGCACAGCTGTGCCGACCCCGAATGGGCAAGGGTCCTGGGCTTCCTCCCTGGCACGACTCCCTGTGTGGCTGGGTGCCATGTGCTGACTTTGGGGTGGACTCCTCTGCAGGTGCCGCTGCCCTCTTGGGCACATGGCATGGCTCACCACACCAAGCTCTGTTGTAGCCCTGGGTGTGGAGCTGCCTGGCTCTGTCCTTGAGGTGGGGACAGAGTTGAGCCCATGCTAAGGCAGCTGTGGGACGTGGGGTGAGGCTGGGCTGCCGCTCACATCCATCTCCTGACAGCTGTCCCTGCAGGGGGGCGCCCTGCCCATGTTCGAGCTCGTAGAGCAGCAGCCTTCCCACCTGGCCTGCCCCGACGTCCTGAACCTGTCCCTCGGTGAGTCCTGAGCCTGGGTGGCTCCGCCTGTGTCCCTCACTTCCCATCTGGTCTGCTGGCTGGCTTCTACGCGGTAAGGTTTGTGTGACCTGGGCATGGGCCTGGGGTTGGTTTGGGTCTGAGAGCAGCGGGCTGCAGCGAGCCCCCTCCTCAGCCTGAGCTTGGAGCAGCAGAACCTGCACCTGTTCCCTGCCTGCGCTGTGGAGCCATGTGCTGCACTGGCCCTTGGCTCTGTGATGGCCGAGTCTGGCCTGGGAGCCAAGGGCCACAGGGAGAGCAGCCCCTTGGGCCTGGAGTGAGGGCAGGGTGCTGACCCTGGAGGACACTGGCCAGAGCCCATCAGGCCTGCCCAGCCCTCAGCCCCTCTTGCCGGTGGCCAGCAGGAGTGAACTGCTGTCCTCTCCCCACCCCCCAGCCCCTCGGGGCCGAATCCCTGTGCATAGGTTTGGAGCTCCAGCTGGCTCCGAAGCCCCAGAACTGGCTTCCAGCACCTTCTCAGCCCATACCCCAGAGTGGCCTCAAATGAGTCTGATGAGGCTTTATCGTGTTTCTTGTAGATTCTTCTGACGTGGAGCGATTGGAAAGATTCTTTGATTCAGAAGATGAAGACTTTGAAATCTTGTCCCTCTGAGGGTCTTGGGGTTAGAGGGCGGCTTCCGTGGCCCTTGTTGGGGTGCCTTGGAGAACCTAGCCTGCCCCAGGCGCTCGGTGCCGCCGCATTCCATCCACCCAGCCGGCCCCTGCTGAGGCCCGCGCCCATGCTGCCCGGGACGCCGTACGCTTCGAGCCAGCCGCCAGCCCAGAGCGTGCCTCCGGCCATCTGCAGGAAGCTCAGTGTGGAGGGCCTGGAGCTCAGCGTTCTCTGCTTGGCACTGCCGGCCTTGCATCCCCACACTGGCTTTGGCCCTGCTCTCCTGGGCACTGGGTCTGTGGTTGGTTTGGAATTAAAGCCCTGTTTGGAGTTGTTCAACACAGACACGAGTTTCTGAGCCACTTCCCAGGTCAGTCTTGGAAGCCTTGCAGTTTGTGTGTGCAGAGCAAGGGCCATGTGTGGCTTTGTGAGGGGCAGAGTGAGCTCAGCTGCACCCTCTCTGCCCACGAGGTTACCAAGGGCTACTCCGGGAGAGCAGGTGGAGAGAGCTCAAGAGTGGACACTTGGGAAGCCAGAGGCTTTAAGTGCCCGGAACCAGGTGCGAGTCCTAGAGCCAGCCCTCAGAGCACTTCCTCGGGTTTGGCTTCCGTCTCCGGGGGCTGAAGCATTTGGAGACCCACTCCCTGCTGCTGTCCGCTCAGACCAGTTCCCCTGAACAGTTCTGCCCGGGCACTGCGACTGATGGGATGGAGCACCCCGGCACCCACGTCGCTTTCCTTTCTCAGTTGCTGGGCAGGGTGGGCAGCTGAGCACCCAGCACTCGAAGGTGAAGTGCCCAGACCTCCTCGTGCTCATTTCAGCGTCTGCCACCTCTTACCAGTTTCCTGGCCCTCAGACCTTGCTGCTTGGGCCTGTGGCCTGACCTCCTGCTAGCAGGTGTAGCTGGGGTTGGGGGACCTAGGTTGGCCACGTGGGCGTCTTTGGGGCCAGGCAGGACTGGAGGAGCCCAAGGTGGGCGTCTCAGCTGTGGCCATGCATGGCCGCACCACGACGCCCACAGAGGCAGCAGGAGGCACTCCAGACCCCAGGTGCTGAAGGCATAATTTATTTCCTTACTCTTCTCCCTTTGCTCTCTGTGCTTCCTCTCCTTACTGTAGCTGTGGGTGGGGTGGGTAGCAGGGAGGGCTGGGACCATTTCCATTCCTTTGGATTCTGCTTCCTGCACTGCCGCAGCCCTGCTGCTGGTTCCTAAGGTCGGGGACAGAGCATCCAAGGAGCCACCTGCCACATCTGGAGAAGGCTGACTTAGGAGGTGGTTCATCCTCAGTAGTGTAGTTCACAGTTCTTAATGGCAAATAACAAGTTTCCGTAGAAAACAAAGTGTGTGTGTCTTGATTTTTTCCCTCAGGTTAGTTGATTGGGGTGTGAAGTTTTCAGTGACAGGTGAGATTTGCGGAGTTGGGCAAGCAGAGCCTGCACTGCTGCTCGCTGGGCTGTGAGGAGCTGCACACAGCACCTGTCCCCACCCTGATGCTGGGTGAACCTGTGATGCTAAATCTATAAAGAAATACAAGGATTAACTAGAAAATGATCTGGTAGCTTTCAGCAGGGCAGGGGATGTGTCCCCATGGTGCGGGCTTTGCCTGTGTCCTCTGGCCCAACCAAGTAGCCTCGCCTGGAACAAGGTGGGTGCAGCCAGAGGCCCAAAGGAAGATGGGCCACACATTGCCCAGCTGAGGTGGCCCAAGGGTGAGTCACACCCTCAGGTGCCCACCAGGTTCTCCACTCAGTTCCTGGAACACATTCTCTTCCGTTTCCTCAGACAGTTTTACTGTTGCCCGCACCAGGCTGAATGTGTGACCCTCCTGCCTTGGCCTGAATGCCGAGAGTACAGGCACCACCAGCTTGGGCAAGTTTTTCTTACCGTCCTGGAAGGCAGAGGATAAAACCACACCGTCACAGGGATAGTCCTGCAGGGTCGGAGAAAACAGGACAGCCTGCAAACACTGTACCTTGCAATCCCTGTAGGGACCTGTAGGACACGGCCTCTCTGGCGGATCCTGGACAGTTCAACTGCATGCCCTTCGGCATTCTCCCAAATGTCACTCTTGCTGTATGGGGTCCTACCTCCCATCCAGTGCTTTAACCTAAGGCTGCCCTGTAAGGTGGAATCCATCAGAATCGTAGGAAATCCTGTCTTAGGGCAGGTTAAAAGGTGATAAAATGAAGAGATAAACTCCAGAGTCATTACAAGACAACAAGATTAACAGCCCAGAATGTCGGACATGGTACTGCACAGGTGTGGCCTGGCAAGACCATAGGAGACCCAGAGGGGCCCTGCTTGACCGAGCTGCTGGTTCCTACTTGAGGCTGGCCCAGCACACAGCTGGTATCTGAGAAAGAAAACACCGAACGTGTTTGCAGGTTCGTTTTTATTGGGGCCTGTAACAGATTCAGAAGCGGGGCCCAGTGGCCCATGCCAGTAGCTTCAGCTGCAAGAGGACTGGGAGTTCAAGGCCAGCCCGGGCAACTCAGTGACAGCCTGTCTCAAGGTAAAGTTAAGAAAAGGGCAGGGGTGGCAGCTCGGCGTTAAAGCGCTTCCTTAGCTTGTTCGAGGCCCTCGGTTCACACCAGAGGACTACAAAAAAGAAGAGACTGCCATTTCTGAGCGACCGCTCAGGTTAAATAAGAAAGCATGTATATTAACATTTTCAGGACAGAGAAATACAAGTCCACGGTACTGCCTAGCACCCACGCGGCCAGGGCTCTGCCACCAGGAGACAGCCCTGGAAACCAACATCAGCATGCCGCTGAGTGTCTGAAGGACCTGGTGCCAGTCTCAGTGGTGGCCACGTTCACAGCCACAGCTCTCCCAGGGGCCTTCGTGCTGCACCAAGGATGGCAGCCTCCGAGAGCGAGCAGATTTCCTCGTGGACAGCCTCGATGCTCTTGGAAGCGTCGACCACCTGCTCCCATAGGGGACACATGAGAGAGGGTCATTCCCACCTCGTCCTGTTCCAGTTACGGGGCACTTTTGGGGGTGCTGGGGCACAGCACGAGGCCTCTGAGTCTGCAGTTTACCTCACCCCAGTGGTGTCCTAGGCGCAGAGCCACCCACAGTGCTGCCACCCTGATGCGAGAGAAGCCCCTGTGCCAAAGGCTGCCTTTGCTCCTGCGCAGCCCACCACCCTGAGCCAGTGTGCAGTCACTGCGGAGCCCGCTGTAGCCCAGGCTAGCAAACTGCTCCTGAGAGGCTCCTCCTGGTCCATGGGGGCCTCCGCCAGGGCAGCTCCCAGCACTCTGAACACAAGGACCCAGCAAACCTGGGTCTCCTCTGTCCCTCACCACTGTGCTGCACCGCACAGGAGCAGTGCTGGCAGAGAACCCGCTCCCAGAAGGCAGGCAGGTGAGAGGGAGGCCCACAGAATGCCAGGGTTTCCAAGGCTCCTTTTCTCCGGTGCTCGGGGCTTCTGTACTGAGCTACATCTCAAGCCATTGGTTATTCTGAGAGTTTTACTACATGGCCAAGTTGTGCAGGCAGGACTCGGACTTGGGCTTCTCCTGCCCCAGCCTCCCTAAGGGCTTAGATCACAGGCGTGTGCCACTGTGCCTGGTAGACTGAGTCTTCTCTTCTGCTGCACGAGTGGGTGGAACCGGCTGAGCCCCGGGACCCCCGCTCAATCACGCCCTGCAGGCTGGGTCCCACCAGGGCCTCCCTGGCTGCCGTGCAAGCCATGCCCAGGAAGGTGGACTAAGGAGCAGGGCAGGAGCCAGGAGCAGAGATGAGCCCAGACGGCAGAGGCCAGGGGAGCATCCTGGCGAGGAAGGGCTGAGGCCAACTTCTGGGACCCAGTGAGGAAGGACCGAAGGGAAAGCCAGCACAGCCGGTGTTGGGGGCACAGGGAGGGGCCGAGGGAGAGAGAAAGAGGGAGGACCCAGGTGCACCTGTGTGGGAGGAGCCTGCAGTGTGACCGCAAGGGGTGGGCGCACATCCCCGGGGCTAGGAGGCGGCTGAGGCGAAGTCTGAGGACTGACCCTGAAACTGGCACACACCCTGCTGTCTGCACAACCCACTCGGAGACAAGGAACTCAATGCTGCCCCTGGGATCAGGGAGCCCGAAGGTGAAGTGTACAGCAGCTCCTGGGACTCGGGTTCCCAACCACGTGGTGGCTGAGGCCTTGCAGGGGACAAGACGCAGAGGGTGCAGGCTCAGGTCTGAAGGGGGCTTGCAGCTACATGGGGGTCCAGCGGATGCGGCACCATGTCTCTGCATTTTGCAAAATCCGCCAAGGGGACTGGAATCTGTTACACGGGGCTGTGGGCAAAGCTCAGGGGTAGAGCACTTGTGAGGCCCTGGGTTCCACTCCCAGTATGCCCCCAAAAGCGGGGGTGGGGGTGACGTGCCGGGCCCAGGAACCCTGCCAGCTGCCCAAGGGTCCGCAGAGGACAAACCAGACAGGTACTGCAACAGCTGTGACCTGGTGGCAGGATGGACTCATGCTCACCCCAGGTCCATGGGCCTCACCTTCCAATTCAAAGTTGAGTCCCTCATGAGCTGCTGGAAGCTGCCCAGCACCCGCTCCTGGAAGGTCTTCTCCTCATACCGCTCGCGGCCAAATTCCCCCCGAGTAGAGGCGTCTGCCAGTTGTAACTGAAGGAATAGGATCAGGTCAGGCTTGGGCAGGCCCACATCTGGCTGTTTGCACCAATCCAGGGAAAAATTCTGCCAACAAAGAATAGAACAGTTAGGGCAAAAAGCAAGTAGGATCCAATCTTGTGCTCCAAGTACAAAGAGGTGAGAATTTGTACACAGCAGTGGCCTTTTTATTGATAAAACCTCACATTTTGCTTTCTCTCACGCCACCTGATTTTCCTCGGCCAATGCACTCAAGAGGAAACAATGGCCCCTGCCTTGGTATGCACACTCCTATGTTGGCCCTTGTGACAGGTAGATCCAGACCTTATGTCCAAGAAGAAAGCACAATCTAGGCAGACAAAGCCTTGAGGGCCACTGGGCCCAGGGAGCCTGAGGTGGAGTAGACAGAACCAGACCGGGCACAGGGCCTCTGGCCATGGCTGACCTTTCACAGACCCCCGCCAGGAAGAGGGGAAGGAGACTGGCAGTCCTGGCAGCCAACTGCGGACTGCACTGTGTAGAGCTCCTCGGCAGATTCCACCTTCGAACCCTGACACCCTCTGAAGATGTTGTCTGTGTTTCTGGAGGGAAGGCAGGGCCAGGAACCCCCAGCCTGGAACACTATGCCGAGTTCATGGGCCCATGGCCCTGCCCAGAGGGCCTGCAGAACCAGCTCTCGGCTGTGCTCAGCGCATCAGGACAGAGACGGTCCCACAGCACCTTGACCGCCTGTCTTGTCCTCCTCATTATACAAACTGACTAGTTCACTGAGAAAGGACTCTGCCTAACAAGTGAAGAAAGGGAGAATTCAAATGTACCACTATGCCATTGATCATTACCAAGGGCAATCACCACACAAAAGATAACCAGGGACTGGGGGTGTGCCTCAGTGGTACAACACTTGCCTAGCACGCACAGTGCCTTTGACCCCCAGTACCACCCAACCCTCCCCCAAAAAACATGTAAGCAGATATTATGTAACTCTTGACAGGAGAGCCCAGCACTCCTTGAAGTAGTCTTATAAAAATAAATTTTTGGTGCCAAAGACTGGATCCAGGATCCCTTGCATGCTAGGCACATGTTCTACCACTGAGCTATATTCCTACCGCGCCCAAAAGAAAATTTTGAAAAACTTAGCTGGGCAGGGTGGTATCTGCCTGTAATTCTAGCTTCCTGGGAGGGTGCTTGGGAAAGGAAGGAGGGAGGGAAAGAGGGAGGGAAAGAGGGAGGGAGGAAAGAGGGAGGGAGGGAAGACAAGGGATAAATTTTTGAAAATGTTAATGCAAGGAAGAGACCTGAGAACAAATACTTCAAGAGACTTAAGAGGTATTTCAATATAGGGACCTTACTGGATTTGAGTTCAGTCTAACTGAAAATACAAATGAGACAATCAAGCTGGGCTTAGCGGCACATGCCTGCGATCCCAGCACTCTGAGGCTGAGGCAGGAAGATCACAAGTATGAGCAATTTAATAAGACCCTGTCTCAAAATAAAAAGTGATGGGGCCGGGGATTTAGCTCTGTAGTGCCGCCAGCTGCCTCGCAAGTGCAAGGACCCGAGTTCCATCCCCGGTACCAAAATAAATAAATAAATAAAAAATAAAAATAAATAAATAAATAAATAAATAAAGAGCAGAAAAAGAAGCAGGACAGTCATACTATCATACATGAGAAGCCCCAGCTCCACAAAGCAGATAAGGAGGTCAGGAAAGGAGGAAGACAGAATCCCAGTTCCTCCTGATCAGTGGCTGGAAAGCAAAACACTGGATCAAGCATATACCAATCCACCACCTTCAAAAACTCTGGGAGCCAGGGACGTAGCTCAGTAGCACCATGCCTGCCTGGCAAGTGCAAGGTCCTGAGTTCCATTTCTGGTACTGGAAAAAAAAAAAAATTCTGGGAAAGCAATCTTTGAAGTAAAACACAGTTATGTCTGTGAAAATACTTTGCAGCTAGATACGTTTGCTCTTAACAATAAGAGCCAAATTAATCCAGCCCCAGTGTAAAAGGGACACAGGAATCATAAAATTCTCAAGAGTAACTTGAACATGTACTGTTCATGGCCAGTGCAGGTGCTGGACAGGCCCAGCGGCACTCACCTCCTTGGCACTTGTGAATGCAACACCAGAAAAGGCGTATCTGTCCACAACAAGGGTCACACCCTGGCGCAACTTCTCCTTAATTAAGGGTCTGAAAAACAGAGTGACAAGACAACTCAGAAATCCCACACAATAACCATTACAGCATTCGAAGCTTACAGTTTCAAAGCTCTGGGTCTTCTCTTTAGAAAATGCTGTGCAGACCGTCCCAGCAAAGCCCAGTGTGGAACAGAAAACTCCCTGGACAGTGACCACCCACACCGAGACAGGAACATGTTCTCAACTGGAATAGAGGGCCAGCACTACCCTAGCAGGGGCAAAAGAGAATTCCACAGAGAAAGAACAAGGATGGCGGAGGGACTGGACCAGGCTGGCAGCTAACACATCAAGGATTATGCCCTCAAGGCTGGACTGCAAGGACAAGGACAGGATGTAGGGACATTCACAGCCAACCTCAGGCCTGCCTTCATCCCTAAGGTGCCAAGATCTTAGAAAGATATGCACAGAGCGGGGCCTGAGTTAGCAAAGCACTGCCAAAGCCGGGTAAAGCAGTCAAATTAATCCCTCAGCCAACCTCACTGAGGACTTCTAATGACAGAAACACTCACATGACAAACAACTGATCATTGACAAAAGAGTGGACACTATGATGGGGCAAAAATACAGTTTGTAACAAATGTTGCTGGAGCAAATAGACCCTCACATGTAAAAGAATGAATCCAGAGGCCGGGAATTTAGCTCAGTGGTTCTGCCACCTGCCTCGCCAGCCCAAGGTCCCCAGTTTGATCCCTGGTACCAAAAGAAAAGAATGAATCCAGACTCAGATCTTTCACACTCCACAAAATTAACTCAAAATGGACCACAGACCCAAATGCAAGAGTCCTAGGTTCAATCCCCAGCGTGCACACACACAAAAATGGTCAAATGAGGCCATGGGTGTCATTCCCAGCACTAAGGAAGGAAAAAAACGTTATAAACTTTGGTTAATGTCTTGCGAATGGTTATTAGTTGTAACAAACTGACATACTAATACTCCATACAAATAACAGGAGAGCCAGGCTGGTGGTGCAAGCCTGTGACCCCAGCATGTGCACAGAGAATTGGTGTGGGGGGTTCCAGCCCAGCCTGGGCTGCACAGTGACTTCAAGGCTAGCTGGAATTACAGAGAGACCCTGTCTGGAAAAGAAAGAAAGCAGAAAGGGAGGGAGGGAAGAAAAGACAGGAGAGAAAAGAAAGGGAAGTGTATGTGTGCAGGAACTCTTCTTTTTGATCAATTTTTCTATAACTTAAAACTAAAAACTAAGTCTACAAGTTACAAACTGGGGAGGGAGGGAGAGGGAACAAAAAGCAGTGAAACCAGTGCTCCCTAGGAACTGAGCCACTGAGGTTGCTGGGACAGCTGTGGAGTGAGGAGCCTCGGGGACATTCAGGCCCTACCCTGGCCCTGTGACACCAGTGTCATTCAGAATCCAGAGCCTAGAAGAGCAGCAAGGTTCCTGGGGTGGGAGCAGAAGGGAGTTGGGGTTTTACACTTGTTCCCAGCGGTTGGCAGAAAAAAGCAGATGCACTGAGTGATCCTCCAGTTCACTTTTCTTCTCCAAGTAGGAACTGAGAAGTTTGCCAATTTCTGTTGATCGTTCTACGGGAAAAAAAAAAAAAAAGTCAGGTTTTCCACCTAAAGTAGAATATAGCCTATAACCCCAGCACTTGGGATTGAGGAAAGAGAATCACTGCAAATTCAAGGCTAGCCTGGGTTAACCTGTAGTGAGTTCAAAGCCCCTGTGAACTATTACAATGACACCCTGTCTCAGAAAAAGAGTAAAAGGCCAGGGATTTAGCTCAGTGGTTCTGTCACTTGCTTCACAAGCGCAAGGACCGGAGTTCAATCCCCGGTACCAAAAAAAAAGAATATAAAAAAGGCTGGGGTTGTAACTCAGTGGTAGGGCAGTAGGAAAAGAGAAAATACTTTGAGCTAAATTTCTCCTCCGGATCCACACATGTCTAATTTTAGGTTTTAGTTTACTAAATCTGGACAAGTTTGGGCCATCAGAACCCAAAGGAGTTTCCTTTTTTTTTTTTTTTTGGTACCAGGGATCGAACTCGGTACCTTGCGCTTTCGAGGCAGGGGGCGGAAGCGAAATCCCTGGCCTTTTTTTGGAAAGGAGTTTCCCTGAGAAAAGCAGCAACGTGCGGACATGCTTCAGAAAGGTGCTTTAGGGCAAGGGGTAGAAAGCCAAGAGTTCAAGGGAAGTACTTGTAAGATTTGTGGACGAGTTGGGCAAAGAATGCTTTTTTCCCAATTCCTCAAGCCTGTGCTGAATATCTTAAACTGCCCCTTGACTAAATTTTTGGTTGGTGGTACTGGAATTAAACCCAGGTTCTTCGCACAGAGCTACATTCCTACCCCTTAAAGAAAGAACATTTTTTTGAGACAGGGTCCTCCTAAGTCGCTAAATTATTCAGGCCAGGCCCAGTGCTGGGATCATAGGCGTGCGCCACCACGCGTGGCTTCACTGTTTTGATGCTATTTCACCAGCACTTTTCGGGGCTGATGCTTTACTTTAAACATACCAGGCTAGGGGGGCGATTCGGGGCAGAGCGCGCGCTGAGCATGCGGCTTCCATCCCCACCCCAAGGCAGAACAGCCCAGTCTAGCCCGGAGACGGCCCGCGCCCGCCCGCCCGCGCGCACCCGGGAAGCACAGCAGCTCGGCGCGGTGGCCGGCGGCACACAGCGCGGACACCAGTTTGCGGCTCTGGGTGCTCTTGCCTGCGCGGTCCACACCCTCCAGCACGATGAGAGCCCCACGCCTGCACGCCATTGCGGTCGCAGCGCGCACCGCCGCTCCCGACAGGCCCCGCGCCGGCGTCCGCGGCGCGCGCCGGGATTGGCTGGAGCAGGGCGGCGCCTGCGCCCTGGGTCTGCCGGGAGTCGGCGCGCTGGCTGGAAGGCTGGCGAGAGCGCCGACTGCCTGGGCGGGAGCCGGAGAGGGCGGGGCGGCGCGCGGCCAGCGCGGAGAACAGAGCTACCGCCGCACCCTTTACGTGTTTCTTGCACTCTGAGACGGGGCCTCACCAGGTTCCCCAGGCCGGCCTCTAACGTGCTAGCCCTCTGCCTCAGCCTTCGGAATAGCCGACGACCGGCGTGCGCTGGCACAGCCGGCTTCAAGCCTGTTTTCTTTGTGCGTACCGTGGAGGGCGCTGGGGATTGAACCCGGGGCCTTTGCAGTGAGCCACTCCCCTCGCCCCTTGTTTTGAGACAGGGTCTCGGTAAATGCTAGCTTGCCCAGGCTGGGCTCACTTTTGGTCCTCCTGCCTCAGCCTGCGGGAGTGCTGGGATCACAGGTGTGTGCCCACACGCCCCGCCTTTTCTCCTTCCTCCTTCCCCTCCCATTTTTCTTCCTGAGGGTTGAGCCCGTGGCCTTCCACTGAACTACCTCTCTGGCCCTTTACATTCCTAATTTTTTCATTTTTGAAACAGGGTCTTACCATGTTCCCAGCCCGACCTCACACACAACCCTCCTAGCTTGGCCTCCTGAGTAACCACAATTTCTTTTAAAAAATAAATTTTATTTTGTTTTATCCCATTACCGCTCTCAAGACCCTTCCCCTCCCCTATGTACAGAAGCTTTGTTTCCTTTTTTCCTTCTGTTTTCACTTTTTTCTTGTCCCTTCCTTTCTCCCTCCCCCTCCCGTTCCCCTTCCCATCTTAACACCTTCTTCCCATCTCCCAACATCCATTATACCTCTTAGTCCTTATTTCCACTGTAGGTTTCTCACACCCTAGAAAGAATGCGGTATTTAGACTTGCTCGTGCTTCCTTATGGCAGAGTAGTACTCCATTGTAGAAAAAAATCTTTATCCACTTGTCAGTTGATAGGCATTTGGATTTAGCTATTACAAACTGTGCTGCTATAAACATGGATGTTCATATATCGCTGTGATATGATGCTTTTAATTCTTTCTGGAAGATACCAAGAAGAGGTGTAGCTGGGTCAAATGGAACCTCTAGTTTTAGTTTCTTGAGAAATCCCCACACTGATTTCCAGTGGTTGCACCAGTCCACACTCCCACCAGCAGTGGAGCAGGGTTCCTCTTTCCCCACAGCCCTGCCAGCATTTGGAGTGGCCAGGATTATTGGGTGCATCACTGTGCCCATCTCAAGGCTATTTAGCAAGCTCCCCCCCCCCTCCCCCGGATCAAACCTAGGCCCTGAGCTTGGTGAGGCTGATCACACCGGGTCTGATCTGCACTCAGTGTCTTAAGAAGCTGCTGAGAGGCAGCTTCACTGCCAGGGGAGAGGAGTCCCGTCCAGGGCACATGCCAGCTGTGGGCAGCCGCATCCTGACCTTGCTCTCCAAGACACCTAGGCAGCTTTATGCTTTCCTGGCTGAACTGTGCCTGTGATTGGGGTTCTGGAACGGGGTGGTGGTGGTGGAGTATAATTCCCGATCACTACTTGCTTCCTTCCTGTAGCTTGGCCTTGTGGCTCCCAAAGTCAGTGTGCTGTGCTCAGGCTGAAGCTTCAGAAGCTACTGTGTGCTTCCCCGTCCCCTCTGCCCTTTTCACCTGGGTCCTGGGATGGAGGCACAGTAAGCTTGGTGGCGTTCAGTGCAGTGATAGGCAACACCAGCCAAGGGAGCCCTTGAGTGTGGAGCCGGAGGCTGCTGGGTCACTGTAACCACAGCACAGCCTGCTGAAAGCTGGAGCTTACTGTTGCCTAGGCAACGAAGAGAGTCCTCTCTCTGCTTGGTGGCTCTTTTTCTAAAACACCTACATCACTGCTAAGCACCTTTACGTACATGGCCATCTTTAACTCCTCCAAATCCCCCAAGATGGTGTCCCTTCCTGTGCTTTACAGAGGAGAACCAGATACCTCAGTGCCTCCTGCAGCCTCTCCAGACTCCTTTCCGTGGGCCCCAGCTCACCGCTCAGTGGTTCTCAGGGCACCACCTCTTGCACGTGGCTCAGCCAAGGGTTTCTTGTGTCGTGAATGTAACCAGGGTAGCTGGTGAGGAGCAGTAAGGAGAAACCAGAAGGCCACACTTGTGACTCTTGGCTCATTAAAAAAGAAGTGGGCCGGGGATGAAGCTCAGTGATGCCTTGCCTGCCTCGCAAGCGCAAGGTCCTGAGTTTGATCCTGGTACAAAAAAAAAGGAGTAGCAACCACTGGCTGTGATGGTACACACTTGTGATCCCAGCACTTGGGACACTGAGGCAAGAGGATTGCTGCGAGCTTGAGGCCAGCCTGGGTACACAGTGAGACATGGTCTCAGGAAAATAAAAGAATAAACTAGAGAACAGTGTAACATCCATCTAGTTGCCTTTAGAAGCATCAGGGATTACAGGAAGGGGACAACCTCCTGCTTGCCAGGCAAGGTTCCACAAGGCATGGGACCAAGATGGTCTGACAGGCACAAGGCTAGGGCACAAAGGCTCAGCTTTACATGTGGAGCCCTCCTGACTTCCGAGAGTGCCAGGGACCTGGCCACCGGTGCCCTCTGGTGCAGCGTCCCCTTCCCGCAGCACCAAACAGCCCTCTCAACCAGATGCCATCCCAGCTGTGGCTCCAACCACCTCCTATGATCCGAGCTCAGGAAGTCAGGCCGAGGACAGCTGCTGCCCATGTCGGGTCCATGCCCTGTTCTGGCTGTTCCTTTGCGGGTGCAGGATACCGTGCGGCCCCAGCACTCAGTCCCAACCTGTGGAGGGAGGAGGGCTTTGGGGCAGATCATTGTCTCCCGGACAGGAGCCTCTGGTCGGGTTTGCACTGTGGCAGTGGGAGTCAGGCTCTTTTCACATCCATGCAGGAATGGTCGATGAGACAAAACCAGCCTTGGTTAGCAACTGCTGAAGCTGCCAGTGGACAGGCATGTAGGTTCATTAGATTCTCTCTACTCCTGTGTGTTTCAGATTTCCTATTAATTAAAGAGACAGGCCAGGCATTGTGGCACATGCCCATAATCCTAGCACTTGGGAGGCTGAGGCAAGAGGATCACCGTGAGTTTGAGGCCAGCCTGGGCTACATAATGAATTCAAGGCCAGCCTGAATTACATAGTAAGACTCTGTCTCAAAAAACCCCCCACAAAAAACCCAAAAATAAAAAACGAGAAACAAAAAATAAATAAAGGATAGTAAAATCCTTGTTCTAGTCTCTTTCAGTGCCCTGTGGCTTCCGGCCTATAGCAGACATTGCGAGTATCCATCAGTTCCTCTCCCTGTTCATCTGCCCTGGCTGCCATAACAAAGCACCACAGACAGGTGCTGAAGTGACAGAAGGGCGTCTTTCTGCAGCTGTGGATGCCACGAGTCCAGGGTTAGGGCTAGGGCCTGGCGAGGGCTCCTGCTTGCCAAGTCCTTGCTTGCTTGAGGCGCTGGCTCCATGGGATTATGCCCTCCGCGTCTCCTTAACAGGCCTGAATTACAGCCACAAAGGCTGTGTCTCCAAACACTGTGACTATGGGCCTTAGGGAGGCAGCAAGCATTCTGGAGACAGAATCTCTACTTCTAGAACAGTGGTAGTGAACCCAAGGCGGTCTGTGCCGTTAAAAGCTTTAAGGGTTCACCATCACTGGTCCAGGTCAGGAGCACTGGCTGTGTCTGCCTAGCTAGACTCCATCCCTAGCCATCCTCGAACCCAGAGGTGGCCAGGCCACTCAGTCACCAGGGAAGCATGGGGAGCCCCTCAGACAGCAGGCCATGTCCTTCACACCTCCTCCAACAGAAGTGGGAGGCCCTTGGGGGCAAACACTGTGCCTGAAGGGACTGGGGTCCCCGTATCACCTCACAGAGCACGGCTGCTCCCCTAGTGTTCCCCCTGGAGATGTGACAGAGATACAGCCTGTCCTTTCTAGGCCTGGGTTTCAGCCCTACTCCCCCAAAACAGGTTCTCAACTGGGGGTGACCTTTGGTGATGTCTGGGGACATTTCCATTGTCTTGACTTGAGGGGGAGTGCTAGCCTCCCCTCCTGGGTGCTGCTGGACGGCTACACACCTCACAAAGCATAGATGGATGACACCCCTGGCAGTCACTGGGCCCCATATCACCTGTGCCACGGTCGAGACCCTGGCTCTGTGAGCGGCAGGGAGAGGCTGGGAGTCCTCCGTCCTGTTGTCTCTACAGCAGAGTCCGTGCGGGGTAGATGGTTAGCTCTCTAGTGTGAATGAACAGAATGATCATATCTGGGGGCAGCTATTTTCAATATACGACATATAAAGGACCAATACTGTGGACCCTCAAGTTACAACCGGCCTGACATATGAACAACTTGGGTTAATTAGGTTAACGGAAGTTTCATCTGCCTCTTGTTATCTATAGTGTGTACCCAGGTAAACATTCAGATCTCAGCTGTGTTGACTTCTGAGAACCAATTGAGTTAGTAAGTTAAGGGTCCCTTGTATTGAACCCAGGGCTTTGTGCGTGCTAAGCAGCTGCTCTGTCACTGAGCTATATCCCAGCCCTCCACAACTTTCATAATAATATTTTTCTGAGACAGGGTCTCGCTATGCAGTTCAGGCTGGCCTTGAACTCACAGTGATTTTCCTGCCTCAGCCTCCCGCGTGCTGGGATTACAGGTGTGTGCCACCATGCCTGGCTAATAATGATTTTTAGATGAAAGACATACAGGCCAACTTCCCTATGAAGAAGAGGTAAAGGACACACAGAAGAAAATGATAGAAAAACTGTAAATAACCAAGAAATATGTAAGAAATGTCTAGCCTCCTTAAAATTCAAAGAAATACAAGGGACATGGTAGGAACACTTGTAATCCCAGCACTGGGGAGGCTGAGGCAGGAAGATTGCAAGTTTGAGGCCTGCCTGGCTACAGAGTGAGTTCAAGGTCAGCCTGAACTGCATGGAGAGACCCCATCTCAAAAGAAAAAAAAAAAAAAAAAAA